GGGGGGGGGGGAGGGGTTAAAAGCGTAAGTCTCTTTTGTTAACTTGTAAAGTGTAACCCAAATGCAACCTCAAACTATTACAAAACTGATACCAATACAATGGCATTCTTGTGGGCTGATGGAGTTCTACAAAGTAATGTCTTCCTATGCAGCGCCGTACATATGCAAGGCGGCCGAAGCATTTGTTGTATTCAAAATTACCACTTCTAACCTGTCCTGCGCACTCGTTGGGTTTGAAGAACTGATTTGATCTCAGCTCAGATCCGGTTGATGAAGCTGACTTATTAATACTTTTTTGTATAAGAAATACATAAGATGGGGAACCTGGATTAGTTCTATGAACTACCATGCTGAAAATGTTGATTTTATACATACTAGTTTTACATTAATTTGATTCCGATGCTGCAGTGTCCATAGGCATATCAAAGCAATTGCGTGATACAGAAAAGCTGAAAAATTATATTGCCCCATTTTTAGAGAAGTCTTCCTGGAAACTTTCTGACAGCCTTGAATTTTCCCAATCAGCAGCCGCTGATTGAACTGTTCATTTATCATTCGAAGATCAATAGGGGATCTAATGAAGAAAAATAGGTCTTCAGTTCTAGAGAAAAGCCCTGATTCGAAACAATTAGTGCTATTAGTTCTATGCAATGAAGGAACAATTCCGCCACACTAGACCACACGCCAGAGGATCTCTGATACGTATTAGTGACTCGTGCGATGTACAACGCTCTTTAATCAGTACAAGGTCCTCTTACAAGATAATATGAAAAGTTTCATTGCTGAAAATTTGAAACAAATATTTGTTTCTTCGTTTTACGGAAATCCCTGTAAATAATGAGATTTGGAAGAGTATAATGTTTAATTTTGGTCTCTATATTTTGAAACAGAACAATTTACCCTAAGATAAAAGAATTTTAATAAAAAAGAATTGATTTAATGATACAAATTTTTAATTTTTTGTACATATTTCTATGTAATATAATACATATATATGTACATATTTTCCCAATTTTTAGTACATAATTATACGCACCTTATTCATCAGCTCTAATGTAAAATTATGGGTTTAAGTCATTGAACTGTGATAATAAATAGGAAATATGTGCTTACAATAGCACACACATATAATAATGTATGACGACTGTTACTCAGCTTGAAAATAACACATAAAACTAATGGTCTGCACCTACAAAATTGCTGCTGAACAAAGATCACAAATGGTTTTACTAAACAAAGCAGGCAAGAACAATAAATAAAATATTCTCATATAACAATACATTAAAGTAAAAATTTTAACAAAAACAGTCTTCACAATTATGGCAATAACATACTACAGTATAAACACACAGTACAACAGTTCTTTATTTACTTAGAATTTCTTAAAAAGCTGCTATTCCATAACACAACATGTACATAGCAAATATTTAATAGCATGCAGCCTCTTCCTTGGATCCTTGTGCATGGTTTGTAAGAAGTGATCCACTGAGTACAAAAATGTTGTCAGTACGTGCAGTATGAGATTAGGCAGAATAACATAATCAAACATTTGATGTTTTCAGGAACCGTAACAAATGATATGTCATTACATGCATCAAGGTTTCTTGGTGGGAAAATGATAATTTATTGTGGATCCATCCAAAAAATTCTAAGAAATTTCTGTGTTTGTGGTTTTTTTAGTAACGAAATTGTGTTTTGGGTGACTTACAGTGCACATAGAGGTGATCAATAGTTCATTCAATTCCTTTTGACAAGACAAAATGATTGTGTAACTCTTAGGTTTCCTGTAGGATATTCTGGAAAATCTTTAAAAAAGTATTTGTGATGAATCAAAAATTTATACAAGTATTTTAATTGATACTTTTTGATAAATTTTTCTAGCCCCAGGAATGCCGGGCAACTGCAATATGTTCAAATTTTATTTTATGAACTTGGTGAGCACAGATTAAACTTTAAAATTCAAAAATTCCCACCAAAGTTGCCATGCTAAGATATTAGTAGATTAGTAACATAGATACCCAATGATTACACCTATGTACAAAAGGCACTCAACACTTATTGTCTGGTGAGTTGAGTCTAAATGCACATGCATATGTATATTACTTAAAACATTCATGGTCACAGTCTCTCAGTGTCACATTCATAAGACTAAATTATATTTATTTGTTGCTTCTACCTAAAATCGCATTTACACAAAAAGAACATGTTGCTAATTGTTTCTAACTTGTAATGCTGTAAGCCACGGGGTGTGGTAGGGCTAATAAGTTGGTAATTTTCTGTGATCTGTCATAAATTCAATGCTGTAGTGTATCCTTGGTGATGCAACCAGAGAAATTAGTTGTGGAATTTTAACTCGTGAAAAATATGAACAATAGAAACCCCAGAGTTGTTAGTGAATTTGATAATGTACATTTATTGATTAGTATTGGAACAGTAATGTAATTATATTAGCCTGATGCTGCAGATTAAGATAGATTCAAATACACGTTGATGGCTATGCTGTAGAGTTCCACCACTATGATCGTCTGTCTGAGGACCTAAGTTAATGGTACCATACTGAATTGCCTTTTATAAAAATATTAAATCTCAAACTATTTATTCTCCTAATATCTTGTATGATCTTTTGTGTCTAGTTATAAGAAAACCAGTTCGAGAAACATCGTTGTTCAAGTTCATGACAGTTCTACGGCTTGAAGTGTGGCTGAGTATTGTTGGTGCACTCACAGTTACTGGATTTATGATTTGGATCCTTGACAAATATTCACCATACAGTGCTCAAAACAATAAAGAAATGTACCCATATCCTTGCAGGTATTCTTTACAATTTATAGATGTAATATTAAAATAATAAATAAAAATTATTTTCAAACAACTTTCGTCTGCATATTTGTGTGACAAAATGTTGTTAAATATATTATATGATTTTTAAAACTGAAATAAATTTGTAATTTTTAACAAATTTACAAAATTTATATTTTTGATGTTGGAGGCTTCTATTCAGAGGGAGACCTTAAGCATTTGATTTCTTTGCTTATTTATTAATCCACCCCATGGCAAATTAGTTTGTGAAGAGATGTGTGGCAATTGGTTGACACCAAAATTAGGATGTTTATCATTTATGATGTTTTATATAAAATTAGTGGATCACATAAATTAAATTCTTCCTGTAATTATGTAAATCTGAATTAAAACAATGACAATGAAAGAAAGGTGAAGTAATATTTTCAGAAATGAAGTTATGGCCTCTCACTTCTCCAGTACATTCTGTGTAAAGTATAGCAAAGCATGTAAGCATTGTAAAGCAATTATCAAGAAATCTTGCTTTTTAGGGAATTTACTCTAAAGGAGAGTTTCTGGTTTGCTTTGACATCTTTTACTCCTCAAGGTGGTGGTGAAGCACCAAAAGCTCTCTCTGGAAGAACATTAGTTGCTGCTTATTGGCTTTTTGTTGTTTTAATGTTGGCCACATTTACTGCCAACTTGGCTGCCTTTCTTACTGTGGAAAGGATGAAGGTATTTTTAATTAAATGAATTTGTATATACTAACTGACTGTGTTGTCTAATAATTTTTTGTCTGCATAGTCTCCTGTACAATCACTTGAGCAATTGGCACGGCAAAGCAGAATTAACTACACTGTTGTAAAGGACTCTGATACTCATGAATACTTCAAAAACATGAAGAATGCTGAGGATGTACTCTATGGGTATATTTCTCTATAATGTTTTTTTCTAATAGTTTCCCTATACTAAAATAATGGCTTCGTTGAAAAGTGTAACATATGTTACAAAGAAACAGAATGTCATTATAATAGATGCATCATAATAGTAAATATTTTGAAAGAAAATAAAATTGACTATTTATTAACAAAGGTTGATAAAAAAAATTGAAAATACCTCAATAGTGTCTAAAATTTTTCCTAAGTTATCATTTCCTCTGAGATTCACAATTTTTTTAAAGTGAATGAACATAATATTTTATCCCTAAAGCCTTAGAAGACATAGACTAAGCCAAAAAATTGGTGGTTATTGAAATTTTTAATTTTCAACATCCATTGAAAACTTTCCATTTCATTTGAATTCTATGTATTTTTCTTTCATTAAAACAATGAATATTTATATTTTTAGAGACTTTTTGTATTTTTATGAAGCTAATGTAGTTTTTAATGAAACTTTTAGAAAATGTTTAATGAAGCTAATGTGATTTCAGGGTGTGGAAAGATATTACGCTTAATAGTTCTAGTGATCAATCTAAATACAGAGTTTGGGACTATCCCATCAAGGAGCAGTATGGACACATTCTTCAAGCTATAGAATTGGCAGGAACAGTACCAAATGCTTCAGTAGGCTTCCAAAAGGTAAGCTGAAAAAAGGCATTTTAATGGACACTTTACTAAAAATTGTTTAATAGTAAATTATTATTAATTTAATTTAATCCATAGAGTAACTCCTTTTTGGGAGAGTGAGTCAGAATAAGTTGATAATAGACAAGCTATGTAAGAATTTTTTCATTTGATAAGATTTTGTAGTCTTGCAGCACTTGAATGTGCAATAAATTCAGCAATTCTGCAATAATTTTTATTTTCCAGTTCTGAGTCACAGTCACTTATGGGATACTTTCTTCATCATATGAAAGAACTATCAATAATAAATCTATTGATAAGGGCTTGAAAAATATTTTTGCATCACATAGAACATTGTCTATCATCGACAACTAATTTTTGGTTAAGGTGAATACTTACAACTATTTTTTGAATACTCACCTCTTACAGTTTTATACTAACAAAAAGTTTTAAATGTTGATGGTACATTAAATTATATTCATATGGATGTAAGTATCGTAGTTGCTATTATTGTTGCTGGTTTTGCAACTTAAATAAAATAGTTGGATAGTCCATATGTTGATTTTTTTTCTTCAAAGAACAGTAAAACTGTATGTGACATGTGTGAGATAGGTATGGTCTGAGTATTTATCTTGGGATCCAGAATCTTTTCTCCAACCTTTTGGTGTACATGGTTGAATAATAGAATGAAGTGAGCAATATTTGACAACTAGACACAAGTTATAAAAAACTTATTTGCATTGATAAACAAACTACCGAATTGATTTTTTAGCCTTGATAACCAAAATGCAATCCACGTCCCTAGCTTTACACCTACATCAACTAGCAAAAAGAGTTGAACAAAATATGCAATAGTGAAGCTCTAATAATGTCCAGATACAAAACAATTGAATGAAAAAATAATTGAGATGGAGGTCATTGCTCCAGAAGATGAATTACCTTTTACCAGAGGCCTTAGCAAGGAAAATTAAATTCTTAAGTTTGTATATTTAGGCTGTTTTCTAATTGGTAAATAAATAATTAAAATAATACACTACAAACTTAAAATAATGCTTTTTGTATAGTATTTATGACTGATCTCAGCTAAAATATTTATAACTATAAATATTTAAGACAAAAATGGTGGGTCATGCCATACAGATAGTTCTCATTAAATCCCTGTTCCTTCATTCTTTTCATGAATTGAATCGCTAATTGCTTGAGTTCCAAATCAAATTCCTTTGCCTGTCCAGAACGTTAATTGTGATTAGGGCTGACTTTTCAGGTCGGTCTCTCTCTTTCTTTCTTTCTTTCTCTCTCTCTTTCTCTCTCTCTCTGTCTCTCTCTCTGTCTCTCTGTCTCTGTCTCTGCATTTTTATTAAATTATTTTGCCTTTATTGTTTATGGCATTTTTCCAAAACTGTATTATCTATTTTTATTTTATTTAAATGAAAATTGTGTTTGTTTATTGTTTATAAATTAATTAACTATTGTTTTTACATATTTATATACAAATACTCATTTCTGTGGAAAAGCTATTCGAGGTCCCATATCTAACAGAGGCTCTAATATTCGTATTTATTCTGATTACATATTAAACCACCTTTGATCCCCCCAACAAACAGTGAAATATTTGTTCTTGTCTGTAACCTGTTTATAGCACATGGTAAGTTAATTCAAGGACATTTGATGCTAGTAGAAATTATAAATTGATATTTCTTTTCAGGTAATTGACCAAGAAGAAGGAAAATTTGCATTCATTCATGATGCTGCACAGATTCGGTATGAGGTCACAAGAAACTGTAATTTGACTGAAGTGGGAGAGATGTTTGCAGAGCAACCTTATGCCATAGCTGTGCAGCAAGGCAGTCATTTACAGGAGGAAATAAGTAGAAAGTGAGTATACATCATAAAACCACATCTTTTACCCTAATTTAACTAATACTATAAGAAACACTGTAAGTCAAAAACTAATTTGCATGGGAGCTACAACTTCTTTTCCATATTTACTCTTTGGTTTATTAGATATTTATGTTCAAAGATAAATGCAATTAAATTTCCATTTCAATCAGCATTGGCAAGTAAATTTATTTGCTTCTTTATGTTTCAGGATTCTAGACCTACAAAAAGATCGTTATTTTGAATCACTCACTGCTAAGTTTTGGAATTCTTCTGCAAAAGGAGTCTGTCCAAATTCAGATGACAGTGAGGGAATAACTCTTGAAAGTTTAGGTAAGTACTTATTTGTCAAAAACGTTATAAGAGATTGATAAAAGTGTTGATAAAACATACTAATGTTGATTCATATACTAATATTATATTAATATTTCTTGTACGTATATTAATATTAATGCCAGCACTGAAGACATCAAAAACTGAAATAAATCTTAGAGAGTAAAAATAAATGATGCATTTTTTTAGAATAAATGTAGAGAACATTTAGGACTACCTTTGAACTGTGGTAATCAATTATTTTAATTTTCGTGTATATCATTTATCTTGTCAATTTACTATAATAATAATAATAATAATAATAATAATAATAATAATAATAATAATAATAATAATAATAATAATAATAATTAATAATAATAATTAATAATAATAATAATAATTAATAATAATAATAATAATAATAATAATAATAATAATTACTACATTTTCTCATTTTGTTTTCATTAATATTAACAATTTTATATCTAATGTATTAATCATATTCACTTTAATAAGTTAATGTGTTACTAATAAAATTTTCTTTGAAATTATTTTTTAACACTTAAAAAAAATTTAACTTGCTATTGTGTTTATTTTTCCATAATTAATGTCAATTACCATTATGATACAATAATAATCAACAAATAACTATCGTATTTCTTTTTTTTTTTTTGTTTTTTGGCTATGATATTTTAAATATGAACTATATATTTTAAAAAATTAATTAATACGTGTCTAATTTTCATTTCATGAGGCACTCTGGTCTGCAGCCCATTCAGTCCACTGTAAATCAGGCCCTGGATTCTTCCAAATGAAGTTAAATTTTTGCAGTCATTAAACATTAATTGAATCAAAATAAATATATTTACAAAAACAATCGTAATAATTGATTTCTCAACTCTTTATTTTCTTTTATTATTTATGTGTATGTATATTTTTAAAAATTATTTTGATTAAAAAGTATCATGTTTGTAATGGAATATTTGTTTTCTTTTTGTTCAAGTTATTTTTATTAAAATAATATACAATTCAAAGAGCAAACTTTTATTAATTTTTCCCCCTTACATTCTTCACCATCATTGAGGATGAAACTCTAAAGTAGTCATCTCTCTGGGTCTCACCCTGAAACTCCAGATTTAAGATAGTTCCCAAGACAAGCAATCATTTTAATCTGTAATAAGTAATATTTTCAAAACTCTAATTTTCATTTTCAAATTAAAAGTAATTTACTACTATTGAATTTGGTGCTCTAAAAAATAATGTAACCTACAAATAACATTTGTTCCAGAATCATGTTTTACTTGTGGTTCTTGATGTTTTGCTAAATTATTTTAATATTACAAGTTATAGTTTATTTTAGTTTTCTAATGGTGAATTTGAAATAATTGGCTCAGATTGCATCTTATTTGAAATTAAGAAAATTAATTGTCCCTTCTTTGTGACTTTTATACAATTATGTGAATGGCTTATGGCTATGACAAGTAATGAAGAAATATTAATTAAATTAATAGTTATGAATACCATTTTTTTCTTATACTTATTATTAGGTATATTTAAGTTTGAATTTTTTCTGAACTCTTGATCAATAACACCTTGTCTCAGATTTTCAAAAATCGACTTGAGCTTGTGCTGCATTATTTTATCATGATTCTTGATTCTTTTTTCCCCCAAGTTTGAACAATAATTTTGCAAGTATTATTTAACATAATGGAATATATAATGCTATTTAGTAAAAATGTCAACATATACATATTTATTTTGATGTGTTTTGCAGGTGGTGTATTCATTGCTACAATATTTGGATTAGCCCTGGCTATGGTGACACTAGTGGGAGAAATATTTTATTATAAACGAAAGAAGCGAAATATGGTTCATACAACGGATTCTACATTAGAACCAAAGAAGCAAATCACAATTGGGAAAGAATTTCGTCCAGCATTGGATAAAGCAATGCCTCGAGTATCCTACATATCCGTTTTTCCAAGAAACCAACTTTATTGATTTCATTAGTGTATCAAATGAAAAAAAACCTGTTTTGGTTCATTGCTGCTTTGCAATTACATCCATAGTTAACTGATCATTATTTATACATTAATATTGACATCAATATTACAATAGATCTCATATTTTTCTTTTTATATAAATTCATACACATTAGTCTTGTAAGCACCTATTTCATTGGTGTGCTTAGTTTTATAAACTGAGTTTTTTGTTCTCTGATTTACTTGAATAAAACCTACTATAAAATGACTTGGTCATTTTTCAATTCTTTGGCTATTTGAAGTTCAAAGTATGGTAATGGAATATGTAGGGCCTACTTCTTACATTCATTTCCAGTGATATTTTGATTTAGACCATGTGTGAAGATTTTTCTTCTTTAAATTAATTACGAAAGCTCTTTTTAATTTCACTGGTAACTTGCATTGTTTAGACATTCCTTTTAACTTCTTACTAGAAATAATTAATTGAAAATGTGTGATGTGCATTGTGCAAATTGATTATTTTTCAGTATTAAAAGAAATCAAACATTTAGAAATATAATCAGACAAAATTTGAAAGAAATATATTTGATTGTGTTATATTGTATAGTAATATTTATTAAAAAACATGCATTTGCTTGAATGGAATGTGGATTTTGGGACCACCTATACTGTAATAATTAAAATTGTACCATAACTATAAAGTTATTTTTATATAATAACATTGTAATTGTCACACTAGTGACATCAACTGACTTGGTGCCTCTATTCAGACCTAACATGGATGCAAAAATAGCTCTCTAGACTAGTGTTGACATTGGATAACTCATTAACTCTCTTAGAAATTTCCATAGGGCTGAATTTGATGAAGTTTTGCATCTTTGTTAATATATGGTGGTGTGAGTTAAAATAGCACAAAATAGAAGATACAATGTCTGTGGTAGTTATTTTCATGTCTATAATAATAAGGTTTTCATGAAAGGTGTTATTTTACCTAGAATAATGTAGTAACTTCATATTCTCAGTTAACACATAAATATGACTGTAAAAACACTTTGTTACCTGAAATAACACTGTTAAAAACTTGTATTTTCTGGAGATGTTTTCAATATACAACTTTTGCTTTTAACCCAAAATATTATTAGTGTGCAACATTTTTATATTTTGAGAAATGTGCTCTTGAAAGTGAAGAATAAATAACATGTCTTTTACAATTGCTTTTTATTGTAGTGTAAATAAGATTCCTTTTAAAAATAAATTATATGACAGAATGTTGTTGGATAAACTGTGAAAATTAGAAATTAAACCTGATTAAAGTGTGAGTAGTTGGTACAGGTAACACAACTGGAAAATAAAACTTGCAAGTTCAAATGGATATTTTCTAGTTTGCAAAAAAATTTTATAAATCATATGTATTGTTTATTCTATTGTTTTGTGAAGGTGTGAAGAAAAGGAATTTAAAATTTGGCCCAAAGCATGTGTCCTTTCTTGTGACAGAAACCTTACTTGGGAATGTGTATTTTACCTAGAAGGCAGAATCTATTCTGAAATGTTAAAACATCAGCAATCATATGTGATAATGGGCTTTAAAAGTAACCTGCTTCAACTGACTGGCCCACCAGCACCCTAAACCCAACAGTCCCAAACCATTCCCCCAAAGTTGGAAATGGAACTTATTGTAAAAAAAAAATGAAATTAGCATGGGATTTATTATAATGAAAATCAAATTCAGCATTATTTTTTCCAAACTATATAATTAAAATAAAAAATATGTAACATAAAAATTCAATACATTGTTTAAAATGGCTCTCTACAACCATTTTCAAATTTTTGAACACATAACATGGCAGTTCAAGTCTTAAAATAAATTTGGGGCAGCTGAAAAAATGTTTTACCTCTACAGAAGTGATTGCACTTTAGTTTTCACCACACAATAGGAGTTATATCTGAAATGTAAAGAACATTGCATATACTTTGTATGGATTTTACAAGGAACCGGGCAGACATGAACACTGGTACAATGTAGCCTGGTGTAGCCAGTTTCAGAGAGGGGGAGGATTGTAGCATGAAATCCCTCCCAAATCCAAGAATGTGATAAGACAATGATCTGAAAAAAATATTTGTCTGTGAAACATGAGTACGCATGTAGTTAAGAGTGATTCACAAACATTCTCTAATATTTTATTTCAAGTAGATGGTTTCCAAGAAGCAGGGGTAAGTTTGACAATTTGCATTGAAGGTCTGGTGGTCATGGAAGTGTGGAATTACATAGATTCATAAGAAAGACAATTGTAGTAACTTATCAGCAAACTCTTATACAAAATATTTTATTTTGGGAACTAAATATTTAAAAATATAATGAAAAATGTAGTATACCAAAATATGTAAATATACCAAACTATGTAAAAATATCTAAAATAAAAATGGTTCTAATTCATTCAGAATGGAATGTCTTGTTAATTCTATAAAATACTATTGAATTCAGGTACCTTGTTCCTCTAAAAATATGTGTTTACATGAAAATCTGTTCCCTAAGCATAAGGCAGTTGTACATGTTTTATATTCTATAATGTTTCTGTACATTTCTTTCTTATAGAACATAAATCCTTACAAGTTGAAAAGAGTTTTTACTCAGCCTTACACGTGTATGATTAAAACTCAGTGACACATTCTTCACTCTGACAATTTCGCAATAAGAAAGAGCGTTAAATACTGGGTTAAATTCAAATGTAAAATAATGTTTAATGTGTAAGATAATGTCAGGGGCGTTTATTCCATGGAAGCAAGAGAAGTATTGCTTCCCCTCATTTCCACGGATATCTTACATTTAAAGACCACTTGACTAGTAATTTAGAATCATTTACTTGTATTCCAAGTAAAAATACAATTTAAATAGGACGCATCCAATCTTAGCTTTCCACAATGAGCACGTAATTCGTATTGTCATCAATAGATAGGGTTGACTTCGCCTGTAAAGCTCAATGGAAGCACTGGGTTGACATGTGCTTGGGATGTTATTTGTTCATAAATTAAATCTGGTATTATCACAGTTTCCAAAACCAAAGAATGTAAAATAGTTATTCAAAACTTTAAATGGTTTATCAACATTTTTCTCGCAGTCTCCTAAAAGTTGCCACGCTCTAGGCAATGAGGTTAAAAACGCTTTCAAAAGCAGCTCCCACTATTATATGGAATTACAATGGTAGATTAGTTACAATAGTTAGATATCGAGAACCTCTTACAAAATTTGTTTGAAAATATTGTCGTTCGTCTTTCGTCGTTCGTCGTTCGTCGCTCGCCGCTCGTCGTTTGACGTTCGTCCTTCGCCCTTCGCCGTTCGTCGTCGTTGTTCGTCGCTCGTCGTTCGTCACTCGACCATTGTCCATCGCCTTTCGTCGCTCGTTGTTCGTCGTTCGTCGTTCGTCGCTCGTCGTTCGTCGTTCGTCGCTCGTCGATCGTTGCTGGTCACTAGTCGCTCGTCGTACGTCTTTCGTTTATCGTTTTTTTCTTTCGTCTTCTGAATTCGTCTTTAGTTTTTCGTCGTTCGACGTTTATCGTTGGTCGCTCGCAGTTCGTCATTCGTCTTTGAACTTTCGTCGTTCGTTTATTGTCACTCGTTGTGCATCGTTTAAATTCATCGAATTATTATTTTTTCAAATTAAAATAATTTTTGAATTTTTATATTTTTCGAATTTTTATATTTTTTTTCGAATTTTTAGATTTTTGTTTCTTCCACTATTTGTGTTTCTGGTGGTCTTTCTTCGTCACTCGCCTTTCATCTTTAGTCGTTGGGCGTTAGTCGTTCCTTGTTTATCGCTCTTCGCTCGTCGTTTGTTGTTTGTCGTTCGTCGTTTGTCGTTCGTCGTTCTCCGTTCGTCGTTCGCAGCTCGTCGGTCGTTTTAATTTTTCGAATTTTCATATTTTTTTCAATTTTCATATTTTTTAATTTTTATATTATTTAAAAATTAATATTTTTGTTTTTTTCATCTTTTTGTGTTTCTGCTCTTTCGTTCTACTTCATTTGTTTTTGGTCGTTCGTCGTTCTTCGCTCTTCGTTCTTTTGTCGTTCATCCCTAGTCGCTTGTCGATTGTCGTTTGTCGTTCGTTTGTCGTTCGTTCGTCGTTCGTTCGCCGTTCACCTTTTTGGCTTTCGCCCTCAGCCTTTCACCTTTCGTCGTTCTTCATTCGTCCTTCTCCATCGTCGTTTGTTGCTGGTTGCTCTTCGTTGCTCATCGCTCGTCGGTCGCATCTGGTCGTTCGTCTTTCTTCTTCGTCCTTTGTCTTTGATCTTTCGTCGTTCGTCTTTTGTCGATCGACGTACATTGCTCGTTGTTCGTCATTCGTCTTTCAACTTTCGTCTTTCGTCGTCCATCGTTCGTCGCTCTACGTTCCACGTTCGTCATTCGTCGTTCGCATTTTGTCTTGCGCTCTAAGCCATTTACCTTTCGTCGTTCTTCGTTCGTCGTTGTCCATCGACGTTCGTCACTGGTCGCAAGTGGTTCGTCACTCATCGCTCTTCGGTCGTAGCTCGTCGTTCGTCTATCGTCTTTCTTCTTCGTCCTTTGTTTTTATCTTTCGTCGTTCGTCTTTTGTCGATCGACGTACATTGCTCGTTGTTCGTCATTTGTCTTTCAACTTTCGTCTTTAGTCGTCCGTCGTACGTCCTTCGTCGTTCGTCGCTCGTCGTTCCACGTTGGTCGTTCGTCGTTCGCCTTTGGCATTTCATAGTTCGTCGTTCGTCTCCCACCCGCCGCCTTTCGTCTTTCGTCCTTCGTCGGTTGTCGGTCATCGCTAATGGCTCATTGTTCGTGGCTTGTCACTCGGCGTCCGTCGTTCTTGGCACGTCGTTACTTTTCGCTCGTTGCTCGACGCTTGTCGCTCGACGCTCATCGCTCGACGCTCGGTCTTGCCGTTCGACATTCGTTCTTCGCCATTCGCCTTTCGCCGTTCGTTGCTCGTCGCTCGTTGTTTGTCGCTCGCCCTTCGCACATCGCCTTTCGTCGTTCCTCGCTCTTCGTTCATCGTTCGTCGTTCTTCGCTCGTCGCACGTCGTTTGTCGCTCGTCATTTGTTTTTCGCCGTTCGCCTCCGTTTTTTGTTGTTTGTCGTTCTTTGTTCGTCGCTCTTTGTTAGTTTAAACTTTTCGAATTTTTTTTAATTGATGAATTAAAAATTTCCGTATTTTTGTAGAGTTTATATATCTTGGTTTCTTACCTTGTACATTATTTGTGGGAGTGGATTTTGAAGGTTTTTTAATTGCTAAGGTGGATTTTAGGAGCTGGGAATATGTTGATAATTTGTTTTGTTCTTTTTTTGGTTTTGTGGAACTGTGATTATATCAGCTTTAATTTTGAAAATAGATGTAATGTTCATTGAGTTTAAGGAGTTATTCGAGCATAGATTACGTGATTGCTGGAAGTAATAGTTGGTGGTATTTATTGTTTTTTACTTGGACTTTCTAGTAATGACTTAATTTCTGTAGTTGTGCTTTTAAATGTAGATTCGGCTGAGGGGAGAATTTTTGTTCGATGGGGTGATTATCATATTAACATTCTTCTTTGAGTTTAGTATTCAGTTTTTATTGGAATTTGTAAGCGTAGAAATGGTTGTTCTAATTAAAGTGTAGGTGTAAAATTTTATGTAGGCATTTGTTTATAGAAGATTTAGACTTAGAATAAAATGTAGCATGTTGATGCTTGGGAAAGTTTTCAGCATATATTTTTTAGAGGAGGTACGTGATTCAATTTATTCTTTAGATTAAGCCTTTTTGTGATAGAATTTATTTCGATTTTTTAATCGTTCTGGTATATTTAATATTTTGGTAATACTTTTTTATAACTTTATATTTGTTCAAATATATTTTTTATAAGTGTTTTTGTGTAAGTTTAAATTGTTTTTTTGATTTGTAATTCTTTGAAAAGCATTATGTTGTATACTTATCGTTCTTGGAAGATCTATTGAATAACGTATTGATGTTTGTGATATTATGCGTTCTCGTTTACGAAATTTTTTTTTAGATCCATTGTCTTTACTTTGGACTTGGGCTAGGGCATTTATGTCAATTCTTGAATCTGGATAAGGCAGGCTAAATTGTTAGGTGTTCTTGTTGAGGTTTTGTAATATTCATAAAGTATCAGAATGGTTTTAATCTTAAGATTACTATATTGTGTGGTGCAATAAGCGCAATCATTTGTCAGTGTACCATTTTTTTTAGTGATTCATTCTTTATTTTCACAGCGATTGACATGTCTTCTCTTTGTCTCTATGTCTTCTTAAGCATTTGAAACATGTTTGTAGAGCATGCCATTTTAAGATATAATGGTATTGATATTTTTTGTTAATCTCCTTATTTCTCTTTTCTTTTAATTATCAGTTGGAGTATGT